GTGTTAAAGGGTGTGTAAGTGGTGTACTGAGGACCTCTAGGTGGGTAACTCCTAGAACTATCCCTTCCTTTTCCTTTCTAGGGATTGCTCCCTTTCATTTTCCTTTTTACCAGAAACAACCTCGACTTTAGCTTGATTTCTGGATTCATCCAACTCTTCCATCTACATATACTTCTCAACTCTTCTTCTTAGATCATTCACATCCAATAAAGGTTTTTTACACAAACTATTTACAAAAGGTCTCAATTTCAAAGTTGTATTTAGTCTATCCATTGTAATTGTTGCAATCAAATTTTTGATTTCCATAGTAACTTGTTAACCTATCCATGAAGGATTGAAGAGATTCCTTTTTTTCCTATCATAGATTTGCCAATGTTAGACATGTTAATTGATAAGGCCGGCTAGTGGTGAATTGAACATTGAACAATGTTGCCAACTCTTCAAAAGAATTTATTGACCTATGGGGTAACTTAATAAACTAGCTAAGTGCCCTAGCTTTCAAAGATGTCGAAAAGATACAACACAAAGTTGCATCTTCTTGAGTAAGCAGGGTTACTAATTGTGTTAAGTATACATTTATAAGTTCGTCTAGATTAGTGGAGCCATCTTAATTCTTTACAAGAAGACTTCTCCAATTGTTTGATCATACAATATCCATGATTCTCTAGGGCATCATGTTCCCAAGCTTTCCTGATTACAATCACTTCTTCTCTCAATATTCTTACAACATTAGAGAGATCAATTTGATCCTCTATAGCCACCAACCCTAACTCCTATTTGGGTTGTATATATAGCACTCACGTTCTTTCTTGTAGCTACCATTCTTCCAAAGCTCTCATTCCAACAAAAGTCACTCTAATGCTCAAGTCAATCTTCAACCTCAAACAAGTCAACATAATAAATGTTGTAAAATATTCGATCAAAAAGTTTTTATTCTCTCCTTAATACGTCATTATTTATATTAACCTTATTGGGTCTAAGATTTAATGATAGGCTCAATAACCATTTGATTGCCTTTGATTAGTGCTTCTGCTACATTGTTGAAATGTTTACTCACAGTCCTTAGTAGGAACCCGAGGAATCTTCAATTTTACCCCTTGGTTATAAACCCTACAAGTATACAACTCATATAGGTAAAATAATACATCATGTTCAAAAACAGGAGTTTTGTTAAGTGAGAAGTAGACTCATTAAGCGACCAAACTCCTTTAGAGCTTGTCCCTGAGCAAGCTATTCTTGCTAAATGAAATAAACTTTGTGGCTCATCTTAATGGGCAAGCTCTAGCTTGTTAGGTGACCAAACTCCTTTAAAGCTTGTCATTAAGTGACTATAGCTCATAATACGGGCTAAGCTTTTTTGTGGGTTGTCACAAGGTGAGTCACATCTTGTTGGGTGAACTTACCCAACAAAGCCACCCACGGAACCATATTCTCGTTGAACAACCACCATGTCACCGAGCAAGAACACAAATCTTAGGTTGGTGTTCATCGACTATGAAGGCGCGACAAGCGAGATGCATTTCTCATGGGTAAGAGAGCAAAGATCCACTATGGAACTTGCCATCTCTCTTCAAATCCATCCACCACATTCCACTATCAACACATGCAACTAAGAAAAACACTTCTCCACATCACAATAAACTAAAAAATTACTAGAAACCTTACATGCAACAATATTATAACTCAAATTCATCAACTTTTTTTCAACCCCAAGAACACCCAAAATCTCCAACAACATAAAACTCAGATTCTCAACATTCATCCATCAATTCAACACAACACAACTTCAACAACACTTATAAACAACAATCAAGCTTCCATTACCTTAATCACTTCAAAATTTGAGAAACTCAAGAGGAAAGGGGATAACTATAGATTTTCAAGCTGCGACTTCTCTCTACAATTCCAAGCTTCATAGCTCGAATTATGACTTCTACAACTCAGACTATCGATCAAGAGAAGAAAAATGATCTTTCAACAAAATCAAATCAAGGATCAGACTTTGTTGTTTCTAGAACATTTCTTTCTAAGATTCTAAAGTTATGAACTTATGATGTTCTTTTTGCAAATCCGCCTTATATACTCCAACTTTTCTCAAGCCATCTCTCGCATACTTAAACTATATCTCTCTATAATTTAAGCTTATGGTCATCTGAACACTAACCCTCACTCCCAACATGGTCCAAACACAACAAAATGACTTAAAACACAACAAAAAAACTTAAAATAACACAAAACATCACTTCTTAGTTACATATATAATAAATATACATAATTAAGAAAATATGGTGTTACACGAACCAATCGATCTGGTCTATTTTAACAATCAAGCTATTAATATTTATTTCTTTCTCGATCGTTAGTACTTTTGTTGAGGGTGATGTCACATTAAGCCTTGATTAAACTATTTCTAGAGACAACCATTATGTTAGCCTTGTAATACATAAGATATATTTGACTTAAATATGTGTTTCGTCCCACAAATATGAGATAAATTATTTATTGATCCCTCAAATTTAAAATTAATTTTTTAGTATATATAATTTTAAAAAATATCTTATTTTAGTCCTTTTGCTCAAATATTATTAGTTAATCTATGAAATAATAGAAAAGTTTATTTGATTAATTCAATGTTAACTTCTCTACCCTTATATGCTTCCTTTCTTTTTTTTAAATTTATAAGATTGTGGTGAGGAAGATAGTAAATATCCCCAAGAAACTTCTCTTATGGGGGTGGGGGAAAAAGAAGATCTTATGAATAAAGTGAGATAAAATTTATTGTCCATCCAAAAAGCCATAGGTGATTGGAAGTGAAAGATGTTGAGTCTTTTAATGACTCACTCTTCAAAAAGTGAAAATGGTGCCTATTTCATTTAAAGGACACCATTAATTAGGGGAGAATACTAGATTCCAAATACATTGGTTGAGAGAATTTTTACGGGGAGATGTTAGTAGCATAGCTTCAATTTGGCGGAGAAACTTGAGAAAGGTGCGTGGGGGACATGAACAAACACAATGGTTTAAGTTATAAAGTGAAAAATGGGAGAAGTGAACCAAACAACATTTTGGATGGACAATTAGTTGGGAGACCAATGTTTGGCAATGTCTCACCCAATGGCTTTTCCTGAAATAATGAACAACAACAACTTTTAATTTGTAAATATGAGAAATTGAGTCAAAGATGAATTGCCGTGGATCTGAAATGGAGAAGGTGGATCGCATGAGAAACTGTCCAATGGAAAACTTTATAAGAATTATTGCAAAATGTTAAACTGCATAAAAGGAAATACAACACTTGCACAAATTGGTAAGTTAAAGATCCCCCAAAAGCAACAATTTTGTTCCAGAAGCTTTATCATAATGGACAACGCATTACTAACAACCTGAAAAGAAGAACATACAGTTGAGTGACGCTGAATGTATATGCAACTTTTGTCACAGAAAAAACAACCTTTCACATTTTTTTTTCTCACGTAGGGAGATAGACAAACTGTGGAAGAATGTTATAAGTGGACATCTATAACCATTGTTTTACAACAAAATACAGTGCAAGATATCATCCAAGCGTCACATAAATTCTCCTCTAAGACCGAGCGGCAAAGGTGGCAGGTGCTATAGTGTGCGGTCATATGGAATATTTGGGAACATATGAACAATTGTGTGTTCAAAAGTTTTGGTTTTGACAGTCAAAATTAAAGAAAGATATCTACTTCACAACTTAGACCTGGTTTAGGAATTAGGATAGATAATCTTTTTATAATTATTGCTTTGATCAACGTATGCTAGTCTTGGAATGCGTTTAACCGGTGCTCATATATAAATAATCAAGATTACTGCTGAAAGTATTAGTAAGAGGTACGCTGTTGCATCAAATTTTACGGAGGACGTTTTTTTTCGAAGTGTAAGCACTAGTTGGATTATTTTTCTAGTTACAGAGGATAAGGAATATTGTGTATACAAAGTCTGAATTCAGTTTTTACTACAACTTCCATTATGCAGGGTGAGGTGATACAATAGAGGAGGGGATTTACCTTGATAGGGTGTATGGGTGGGTTTGCAATCTCTTGTATATATGGGTTGGGTACTAATTGTATCTTATACTCTTAATGAATTGTCAAATAAAATTTATTTATTAGTATTTTTTTTATAAAAATATTACAATGAATTTGGTTAATGTTATATTTAATTGTTTAAATATGCTATTGTTTATTATGTTTAAAAAATTAAAATAAACCATTTTAAAATTATAGAAACTAAAATAATAAATTTTAAATTTGAGAGATAAAAAAAATATATTTTAAATTTGAGGGATTAAAAATATTTTGAATTAGTCAATATTTTTATTTTATTTTATATAACTTAAATATATAATAAATACATATATTTTGAATATATAGATTATATTATTACTAAAAAATTTATTACATAAATTATATTCTAGATTTATGATAAATAATTTATTTTATGATATACGATTACTTTTACTATTGATTTTTTTTTAAAAATTATTAAAATTTTATTTTTAAAAAATTATAGATTAAAGACAAAAAAAATTCTAAAAATGTTCTTGTTAAAAAAATAAAATAAAAAACACTACTCTCAATTAAAAAAAATAAAAATAAAAAAATAAAAAAAGGGTTCCCATAAATACTCTCTTTATAATCAAAATTTTATAATTTATAAAGAGATGACGTTCTCCCAGCAAATGAAGTTGAATTAAAGTCTATTATTTGCATGATGTCTGATTTGAAAAGAAATGAACCTTTTAGGATAATCATTAATCTAATATTTGAGTGTCTAAGAGATAACATTGAACTAATTACTTCAGTATTTAACTAGCATTACAGCTAGTTATTCATTTGAGGCTATTACGGTCCAGATTATAGGGAACCTTTTTCTATGATGAAATATTAAAAACAGTAGGTTCAAACTTCAGACCAATTAAAAATAAATTGTCCATCTAATATCTACGTGTGCTTAGAAAGAGAAAATGCATAGTATTTAGCAAAGCACGAACTTTGAAGTTTTTATTTAATATCTAAAGAAATTGGGCTTTGCAAAAGCAGTAATCATGCATATTAGTGGACAAAAGCCAGTACAAAAAAGTGAAGTACGAGAAGAGAATAAGAAATACACGACTACTGGATCGGCTCACAAGTTCTGAAAGTTCTAATTAACTATGAATAATACGATAAACTAATCGACCGATCTATTTATTGCATAAGTAAATTTCTAATTATTGCAGCTTGTGCCGTGTCAGTTGTAGCCAAAAGCTCAGATAAACGTTCACTTAGGTCGTCCACTTCCCTGTGTAAGCTTCTGATATAGTTGCATGTCTCTTGCAACACCTTGGAAGCTGAAACCTGAACGCATTCAAAATTCATTTTATTAAAAGTGTTCAACGGTGTATATCAAAATTCACAACATAAACATTTTGTAATATATAGCAGCATAAAACATGTACTAACAATGTACATAGTTTTACGTCGTTACTATGTAAATTAGATTTGTCGACCTAGACAATAAATAACTAAAAGGTTATATATCAGGATGATGTCTAATTGATTCAGTGTTTTACACTATCATATACTCATTAAACTCGTGGAAAAATATTCATAAATTACTCCTAAATGTTAAGTAATACTTAGAGAAAGAGAAAGAAGAGTATAAAATATAGATATAAGTAATACGATATGAAGAGAGAGAGAGAGAAAAATTGTAGATGTTTGATATATAGAGCTGTTTCTGATAAAAAAATAATAATAATAATATAGAACTGTTTATATATCATTATTATTCCTTTTTTCCATCAATTTCAGACAGAAAAGATCTTAGAAATGCTGTACAGATTAACTTACAAGTAAGAAGAGTCATAGAAGTGTTTTAAATATAAACAAAATGTAAATTTAGTTTGGCGAAAAAGTATTTCTGAAGATCCAAGAAAAACATTTATTTTTGTGATTATCTCCACATTTTCTTCCCTAATAATTAAGAATATATTTCTTTTTTAGTTTTGATTTTGATCCTTCTAATTTTTTTTATTTTTTATCCTTAAAAATTTAAAATTATCATTTTTAATCTATGTTATTATATAATCATTTTTAATTACTTATTTGCTTATTAAAAATTTAAGTAATCATTTCAAGTGTTACTCATAATTATTAGCAGTATCATGTTAATGTGTGATATTTCTAAATTATTTTATAAGTCTTTGAAAAAAAAATTGCTTATATACCTTAAAATTATTGTTAGAGATAAAAAATAATAATTTTAAATTTTAGAATGGTGAAAATAAAAAAAAAATATTCTACTGTACTAAAATTAATGTTTAAAATTTTTAAAAAGATAAAAAAAAAAAAAAAGGAAAAAAAGTTTATAGCTAGAGATCGAAATCAAAATTCACACATTCTACATAAATTTAAAAATATTTAAACTTATTTTTTTATTTATGAAAATTATAATAACAGTAAAGTTTAAACTTAAGATTCGTAGATACTCCACCAACTTCACCACTAGGCCTACTAGTAGTTCAATTAAGAATATATCTAGGGAAAACTATGTTGGGTACCCATTAAAGCACTAAAAATTACCACTTGCGTTTATCAAAATGACAAAATCATGGTCTCTTCCAACATAACGAAAACAAAAGCCAGTACATAATTAATATACAATCACTGATGTACTGATGATTCTTTAAAATGATGACATATCTACTTTAAACCCCTAACCGTGCATCATTGTATACTAATTTTTGAGCTCAATTAAAGGAAAACTACCAGTTATTAGGTAAATGTAAATGTGCACATTAACAAAGAAAGAAGCAGAAATTCCCTTGTAGAACTCAGAAAAAATAAATAAATTAAATGTAGAAAGGAACCTTGTCAGAGCTTCTATCACGAATCTCTGGAAGAAGCTGTTGCAACTTGGACACAAGATCATTGATCTGATCATCGGTGATATTCCTTGAACTACTTGTTTGCCTTGACCGTGATCTCCTGCTAGACATCTTATATATATATAAATGTAATTTATAAATCAATTGCTTTAGGTCTAATTGTGAATCCTAGCAACAATATGTGTATGTTGAAGATGGGAATTTGAAATTGGTTATAGTGATGGGAAAAGTAATTAAGCAGTGAGTGGTCAAAAGAAGAAGAGATCAATGGGATTGTAGAGTGTGTACAAGGACTGTAGCAAGCAATAGCTAGTGATGTTGGGGATCGAGAAAGAAATTAAGACAAGTAATGCATGGGAGAAAGAAGAGGGCTATGGTTGTATTTAAATAGTGTTTTGGAGAGAGTGAGAGAAAGAATCAACCATCTTTCTAGAGATATGCTATAATATCGTCCCACTGTGTTCCCAAATTGGGGTTAGAATTTTCAGAGTACCGTGTGCATGTTTCAAGTGAGAGAAAGTGAAAGAGAGAGAAAGCCTTGTTCTTTTGTTTTCGACCTTCTCAGTGTGTCAGTCTCTACACGCAATACCATGTTATCTAAAGATTTCCAACAATGCTATAGTGCAAAAAATTACTATTATGTTCTTGGGATATTTTAATTAATTTTGAGGGTGTAGCCCTTTAGATGCAAGGGCTCGCAACCTATTTAACAAAATCTTAACGACTACTCTTTCCAATAATACCCAAAAATGTGTGAGCTGCGAGTGAGGTCACTTCTTATTAAAATAAGCAAATGATTAACCAGCATTAACAACAATGAAAAGTTTCATCCAAGATCTTTATAGATATTATTTATATAAGAGAATAAAATAATGGGTAGACAAAATGGGGGAACAGCAAATTAGGGTAACGTGATCACCGAGGACTTAAGTTGACTAGTCAATGCAAACTCTCCATCCATGTTCTTAATTGCTCAAACAAGGACATGGTGATCTCCCAGGCGTTTTTCAGAAACAGGACTTTTTCCAATTTCCAATTGACCAATATCATCCAAAAAGAAGAAAATAACACATTGGCCAACTGTTTCTAATTTTTGGTGAGAGAAAATGAAATTGTATATTAACAATAGATAGTAAATTTGCAGGCGCATATATATGAGTTTTGGATTATGGTTAGGGCTTGGCTATTGGTAAAAGGGAGCATATATAGCATATGTTCTCATCATACATTGAATGGTGGTTAAATCTCGTGCATTATTTCTCATATCTTTATATATAGCAGTTAGGGAGGCTGAAATTTGGTCATGTACTGTGATGCTTGATGTTTGAATACCCCAAATTCTGCATAATGATATCAGAAAAGAAATTTTAATGATCACGGTTACATTTGCATTGTTTTTAGTTTTTCATATTAAAATTGGGGCTTGAAAGCGAGGAGGAGGACTATAGGGGGTTGGTTTTCAAATGTCTAATTTTAAGAGTGTCATCTTGTAGTCCTTATCAATTATTTTCTCTATATATTCTTTCGAAAGTTATTTGAGTGGGTGTAATAGAAGGTAAATAAATAAAAATTGAATAATATATTGTGTTTGGTTTAACTTATTTTATATGTAAAATACTTATATTTTTACAGCTTTTAATTAAGTTTTTAAATATATGTAATTATTTATTTAAAACTAATCTAACCAAATTAACAAGGGCAGTTGTTAAATATTTATTGAGTGTATTATATATAATAGAGTAAGAAAGAAATCTAATAAACATGAGTGTAAATAATGATTTTATGAAGACTTTTTATGGAATTCAACCTTATAAAAAGGATGTAGTGAAAATTTTGTAAATAATGTAAAAAGAAATCATGTCAAATAGAGTTTTAACCGACTTAAAAAAAATGATAGTACTTTTGTAAATAAAGTAAAATTTTATATGTCGATTAGACAAACATTTGATATAAAAAGTACTTTTTATTGTTAATTAAAAAAATCATCATAAAATGTTTTTTAAAAATTTACAATGACTCTAAAAAATTGTAATTTGCACTTTTTAACTTTATATTTTTGCTCTTCTCTTTCATTGTCTCTAGGTAAATTATCTTTCTCTTTTACTTTTTTTTTTTTCATTTTTTATTGATATTGTGTGGTGACATGGAAGCAAACATGATGGTGGAATTAGCGAACAAGGTAGTGGAAAATGACATGAAAGAAATATTGTGGAAGTTAACTAGTTGTGGAAGTTACCATTGCAAAATGCGAAGACTTTGTCATGGTACCATTTCAAAAAACACAGAAGATAAAGAACAACAACAAATGGAAAGAGAGTGATAGAGAAAAAATGGTTGACCTAAAAAAAAAGACTTTTTATGTAAAGTGTTTTTATAACCAACATAAAAAAAATAAAAAATAAAAAAAACTTACTATGTTGATTCATTGATCAACACAAATAATTAAGACTTTTTATTACGCTTATATCTAATTGGATTTGAAAGTGACATAAAAAATCTATTATAACTGTTATCAAAAGTGTTTTGCACACTAATGAAAGGTGTGAGAATAAGTATTGTTTCTTTTTCTTTTAAAAATTATAGGCATCCTTCATAAGATGTTGCTCAAATAAGATAGGGTTATTGTAAGTATAAAAAACTTTTTCTCTAAATATTTTCCATAATTATATATCTAAGAGTCAAAAATCCTATGTCATTAATTAAGTTAAAATAATCTTGTATTAATTTATCCATATTCAATGTTAATAATCAATTGTACTATTTGATAATAGCTAAACATACACTCTTATTGCTAAATGCATTCTCCTTTTCTTTCTTTAGTTTTTTTTTTAAAATAATATCCTTAAATACATTTTTTTCCTTTCCCCTTTTTTCACTTGTTCAAATGCCTCTCCTCTTTTTTTTTTATTTCTTTAATTTACTTCTCCATACAAGTGTTAACTCTTCATTTCCTATATATTTTTTGGGGTAATACTTTTTGTTTACCTTCTCTCTTACTTTGATAATTTGATTCTTTCCTCTCTATTGATATTCTTTCTATGTGACGCTATTATGCATTATGGCAATAATTATATGTCTCAAGATATAAGGAGAACAACATTGCGGGGGGAAAACATTGCTAGAGAAGGAAGAATCGAACAATCAAAGAAATAGAAAAGAAAAATGAAGAGTGTTGCGGAGAATAGAAAAGGAAAGAAAATGTAACAATTAAGAGGAGTACTGAAAGGTAGAGAAGGGAGGGGTATATGAACAAGTGAAAAAAAAAAGTATTCAAGTTATTGGGGAAAAAAGGAGAAGAGGGAGTAGATTTAACAATAAAAAAGGCACATACATTTAGAAATTGCGTTTTAGACATAACAAAAGCCACTCTATAGTTGAGTCCAATGTGACTTAGAATATAGTGCTAGACTAAAGGTCCATGAGGAGTGTTTAGGTTGAACTTCGCAACAAATAATCCATTTGCAAGGCAATTTGAATTCACATAGAAGAAAGAGTTATACCTTCTCCAAGAGTATAATCACACAATATAATACTCTTATAAATAGGTAAATATTTCCCAATTAACCTCTACCCAACTCATAATATTGATATCAATAGGACACATTCAATAGATTTAAATACACTTTTTTTCTTCTAAATCTATCATCATCTACTAAAATCCTTTCTAACTTGGATATAGAGATACTTTTGTGACTACTTCAACAATCCGTAAAAAACCACCTTTGTCATTCTAGATAGGACTCTCGCCATAAAAGCTTCTCAAAGCTCGATCAAAATTAAAGGACACCAAACACTTCCAACCAATTCAGTTAGAGGAAGGTGTTTTCTATAATTAACTCGTTGATCTATATGCAAAAGTGGGTAGAGAGAAAAGTATAGAGGGTAAAAATAATGGAAATATATTTTATACAGTAAAAAAAAAGGTTATTAAAGATAATTGTGATCAAGTAAAAGTAAAAGAATTGTTAGAAATGAATTGTTAAATTCTTTGCTAACATTTTAAAAAATCTTCCAAATTTTAGAATTAGAAAGTAAAAGTAAATTCATTCTTAATTTTAAATTAAATAGTTTTTAATTTATATAATTGGTGAAGGAATATAATTAAATTTGTGACATGCAGAAGCACAGATAATCAAATCAATTTCTGTTGTTATTTTGCTGGTGGGTGCTGCGTTTAGCTGGTTAATTAGAGGGGGCAGTATTTAGTTGTGGATATTAGTGTGCAGAGTTGATTGTATCTCTGCTAAGTTGACTATAATGAAGTGTGGGGTGGTCTTATAATTAGAGAGGCTTGTTAAATGTAGTGTAAGGTTGTTTTCTTCTTTGTTTTTATATGTTAAGGCAATTCTGGCTAGAAAGTAATTCGCCTCTAAACATTCAAATTAGTTTTAATTAGCTTTCTTTTTGTATATGAGTTTGTGGTATCTCTTGTACCTTGTTAATATATATAAAAAATATATATAAAAAAAATTGTTTGCTGATGAAAAAAATAAAACAGATAATCAAAACAAGTTAATAATTACTAATTTTTAGCGTAAATTAATATTCTTCTCTTGTTGATAAAAAAATATATATATATATATATATATATAATAAAAATAAATAAAAATAAACAAAAGTACGAATTATAAGGGTTTTGGATTCTACCAAAAGCATCTGCATCTTGCAGCCAAATTAAAATGCCTGCCGAAGATCTTACCAATATTTTTTTTTATAAAAATATCACTGAAATAAAACAAATCTAAACTCATTCAGTTTTCATTTTAAAACTCTCTCGAGCAAGGAATCAATCTAAAAGAAACAATCTGATTGGCACAAAAGCATCCCCACATGAGCATAAATTCTTTCTAACATGGATCCTCGTTTATGTAATCATTGTCTTTGTCTAATAATATTCACAAAAAAAAAAAATTATACATGTATAAGAGAAATATATAAAAGTATATATAGGGCCGCCTCGATTTTTATTTTCTTCTACCAGCTTCCTTGCCTTCCAGTTTAATTATTTGATGATGGCATAATGTAAAGTTATCTCACCAACATTGGTTGTTCGCATATATGAGAATGACTTATGCCACTTAATTAAATTAAATTGTTCAAAATTCAAAAACTTAAATACATAAAATAAACTATATAAAAAAAAGTATTTATTTTATATACATTCATAATGTCTAATAAAGATTAATCACTTCTTTTGATCGTAGATATTTTATATTAATGTTATAGTTATCAAAAAGAATGTAAATCTACAAAATGTCTCAAAAGATAATTAATTAAAATTTTAAAATTCATGTATAAGTCCGACTACCATTACAAATTTATGATATTTAAAAATAATCAAATTAAAATTAGTTATAACTATTTTAAAAGATCGACAATCACCCATTACACTATTACATTTGTTTGAATATAAGTTCATTGATTTTTGTGTGTTGTAAATGATTTATAAAATGCCGATAAAAAATACAATAAATATATATACTACAATTAATGTAAGTAAAATATTATATATAGACAACAGAATGTATATGTGTAACTAAA